TGACCCTCCAAAACAGAAAATCTCGCATAATGGGCCTCATTGGGCCTAAAATGTCATTTTTAGCCCATTAAGCTTGAAGTTTATGTTTTTAATCCTCTAAATGAGTATATTTCCAGAAATTACTTTATTGAAACTGTTTTGACATAGTTCAACCATCAGAATTCGTGATTTTTCAATTTAGGCCCTTAAAGTTTGTATTTTTCGTATTTTAGGTCCAAAAATGGTGTTTTTAGCTCAAAGAAATTGTTACTAAACCATATAGCCATTTTTCTAGAAATACTTTGTATGTAGAAATATAATTGATGCTAGAGTCTTTTAACTTGAGGTATATTTCGGTTTTGAGGGGTTTTATGGCTAGATCCAACATTATAACACACAAAAAGCACACATATAAGCATGGAATCATACAAAGCATACAAAATACATATAGATCTACACTTTCACTTGTATTCCCCCCCAAAAAACTCATGAAAACCGAAAATAGGGGGTATGAAGCTCACCTTAGGATGTAGTTTCGGTTTTTGAAGAGAATATGGAAGAACACTTGGTGATTTTTGGCCTTAGCACTCTTTCCTTGAAGATCTCGAGTTTCAGTGTTTCTAGGGTGTAAGATCATGATTTTTGCATGGATTAGGAAAAGATTTTGATAACAAAAAGAATCTAATTCATAGATCCAAGCATAATCTTACCTTAGATGAAGAATTTGTGGAGATTTCTTCTTGAATGCTTCCTAATTTTCGAGATTTTGAGGGGAGAGGAAGGAATGTTCTTGAGAGAGCTTGAGAGATTTTTGTGAGTGTGTGTGTGTGAGTATGGCCGAGAGTGAGAGAGAGGAGAGGATAGAAGTGATTTTGAAGTGATGTTGCATGGAAATATGGACTAAATTGCATGGATATCCAAGGGACAATAATGAGGTGGCATACTAAAGTCAATTCTCTTCTTATCTTCTTGGATTTGGGCCTTGGGCCGAGATTTTTGGGAGGGAAAGAAAAAAAATTGGGCCCTTGCCCCTAAGACCACTATTAGAGTTAATCTTAGGTATTTATTGGCCTTATAAAATAAAATTGTGATTTTTATGCTTTAATAAGCTAGATTAGGTTAATCATGGATCAAAGCTTTCAATTTATTTCATTCTAGGCCCAATATGGCCCATAATATTGAAATAAATGGATGTGGGTCCAATTAGAGCCCAATTAGGGTTCTAAGCCCATGATAGTCTAATTGGAAGCTTATTGGTCCATTTGTATCCAATAAGGGAGTTCTAGTCCAAAGTGGACCTAAATAAGAACTTCTAGGGTTTCCAATTGTTTGTTGACTATTTGAAATGATTGTATGGTGTATTTGATTGAAATTTTGTTGTCACAATCATGGGTGTTACACATGTTCTTAAGCTTTTGATTCCCTTTAGCCTGAGTGTATAGTTTAGAAGACACAAAATTTCCAGTTGTGACAATCTGTCTGTATGGATCATGATTTTTGGGCCTTATTTGATTGGGTTGTCTATGGACTAATAAGCTTGGGCCTTGACTGAATAGTATGGATGGAGTATTTTGGGCCCAATAATTATTATGGACCTTGGATCTAGGCCCGTTTGTAGAAGTGGGCCCAGTTTAGTAAATTGGGCCAATATTGGGCTTTGTATGAGAATTTGACTTTGGGCCTTGGCCCAATAAGAGGATGATGGACTTGATGAAGTGTTGTGGGCCTTAGTCACGGATCAGATTTAGTTATGGGTAAATTGGTCAATTTACCCTTGGAAGGATATTGTGATTAATCTAATGGCTATTTCTGCTATTTTGGCTAGTTCGGGATTTTTTTCGGTGAGTCGGTGATTCGGAAATCTGCTTCTTTAGTTCAGAGTTACGGTAGTTGTGAGGTGAGTTATCCTCACTATATCGACAGGGTCTAAGGTACCAAGGCCGGCCCTTTATCGAATTGTAATCCGAGTATTGTTGTTGTGTTATTGTTTTGCTATGTTTGCATTCTGGTAGTTAGGATGGTATATGTTAGTGACCGGTTAGGTCGGTATCCTGTTTAGAGTATGCTATGTATGTGTTCTGCTAGATCGGTTGATTGATGAATAATTGTTACGTGGTTATATGTTTATGTGCACATGGTTGGTTGACTGAGGGATGGGTTGAGGCGGGTCCTGCTTTGTGCTGTAGGCCAACATACCCAAGGCGGACCGGATATTTCGAAGGCCAAACGAGCGGTCCAGTTAGGCTGTAGGCCCCACGAGGGCGGACTAGGCGTGCCGAGGCTCAGAGAGTGGACCAGGCCGACTGAAGGCCCGGTGCGGGAGGACCAGTCATACTGTAGACTCAGAGAGTGGACCAAGTGGGTTGAAGGCCCGGTGCGGGCGGACCAACCACACTGCAGACTCGATGGATATGGCTAGACTCGGAGGGTGGATCAGGTGGACTGAAGGCCCGGTGTGGCGGACCAGTCACACAGTAGACCCGAAGTGCATGACTATTTTATGTTCTGTTATAATATGGAATGTTATGTGTATGGTATATGTGGTTGGTATTTTGGGGGTATCTCACTAAGCTTTCGGGCTTACAGTTGTGGTTTAAAATATTTCAGGTACTTTAGGAGACCGTGACAAGGCAAAGGCGTGATTGTACCGCTCCTCATGTTTTATGTGTTTATGATGTAGTTTTGGGAAATACTCTGATAATAAATTTATTGAAAACCTTTTTGTAATAACTTTATGAGATTGGGTTGTTTTTGAAAAGTTTAAATTGGCTTAAATTTTATGGTCGTTACAATATGTTGGACTACACCACCACTATCACTTGGTCCGAAAATGTGGTTTTGTACAAAATATGTCTCAAACTCAGTCCAAGAAAAAAATTAACACATTAGAAATTAAAAAAATAATTAAAAGAAGTTAATAATCTAATAAAGTAATATTTATTAATATATATATATATATATATATATATATATAATATTAAAAATAATATTTATTAATATATAATAATTCAATAAAAAAGAATTAATCCAATAAAAAATTTATAAAAAAAACAATTAACAGAAATCAATACTTCAATAAAATAATATTATTAATGTATTAAATATTATATATTAAAATAATATTTGTTATATATATATATATATATATATATATATATATATATATATATATATCCAATAAAAAGAAATTTTAAAAAATTAATTAAAAAAAATAATATATAACACTTCAATAAAGTTAAAAGAAGATAGGTAGAAATGGTCCTTATAGTTTTGTAAAAAGACTTAATTGCAGAAGAGGTCATTGAGGGTAAAATAGTCATTTTAAAAAAGTTAACAATCAAACTGTTAAAGTTAACGACATAGGGATCAAATTCGCACAATGTATCCAAAGTTGGACCACTGGTGCACCACTAAACCTTTTTGGACCAAAACCATATAATTTTGACAATCATAGGGATCATTTTTACAATTTTGTCCACATTAAAGAGTATCTACATTATTGACGTATTTTATATATGTATTTTCAATTTTTTTAGATGTTTACATAATTTATTATAAAAAAATTATTATCATAATTTTTAAAAAAATTAACTATATTACCTTTTTTTCAAATTATTAACTACTTAAGATGTTTTTATAATTAACTAATTTATTTTAAAAAAATATTTTATAAAATTCTATCATTCAATTTGCTATTTTTAATCAAAATGTATTTTTTTAAATATTATATTATAATAATATTTAATATAATAAATATATTACTATTAGATGTTGACCTGCGCAAAGCGGCAGTGATAAATTGTTTTATTGTTGAATAGTTTCTTATGGTGAAATAATTATTAGATTTTATTATTATTTATTATATAATAATAAATTAACATTTCTTAATAAAATATTTATCTTTACACCTTATATTTATATTCTCTGTTTATACTATTGATGTAAATTAATTAAAAGAAATTAAATATCATCCTACACTACAAAAAATATGTCATTTAGTAGCATACAAAAAGTACCACTAAAACCCCAAAAAATATCACTAAAGGTTTCTCAAAGAATTAGTGGCACACATAATAAATACCACTACAAACGCTCCCACTAAAACCCTTTCGTGACACTTTTTGCTTTTGCCGTTGCAATTTTTTAAGCTTTTAGTGACACGTTTTTAGATGCCACGGTAAAAGAAAAGTTTTTGTGGCACATATTTTGTGCCATTGAATGATCATTTGATTAAAAAATTCATGTTACTTTTAGTTATACATTTTATGCTTTTAGTGACACCTATTTATTTGCCACAATACAAAACAATATTTTGTGGCACATTTAAGTTAATACTAATGAGATAAGTAATTTAGGCTATTATATCTATATAACTTTTATCTATAATATAAAATAAAATAATTAATTAAATAGCATCAAAGAAAATAAAAATTCCATTTCATTTGATGAAACAAACAAAAATTTCTTTTTCTTTACAAAGGAATAAACCATTCCATTCATTTTATAACAAATAGATTTTCCAACATTGCAAACTATTAGATATTTAATAAAATATTTTTTTTAACATAACAAATAGATTTTCCAACATTACAAACTATTAGATATTTAATAAAATATTTTTTTTTAACTTTGTCTAGGCGGTAGTGGTCACTATCAAGTCTATCTTTTGCAACTTTTATGTCCAAACTATTAGATATTTAATAAAATATTTTTTTTAACATAACAAATAGATTTTCCAACATTGCAAACTATTAGATATTTAATAATTTTTTTTTAACTTTGTTTAGGCCGTAGTGGTCACTATCAAGCCTATCTTTTGCAACTTTTATGTCCAATTCAACTTCTTCACTTGTTGTCTACCGTTAGTAAAAGTTGATATTGCCATTAGCATACCATAAACCTAAATCAAAAACTACATTAGTAAAAGTTAAGAATTATATAAACTAGTTAGAGTAATTTATATCAAGTGCAAGTGATTTTGATTACCTTTAAGTTCATCATCTCCTTTATGAATGTTACTCTCAGACATTGTCTTTGTAATAGACTGCAAAAAAGAAAACAAATCTAATGAGATAAAGTTAAAATAATAAAAGACTCTTGATCAATAAAATCACCATTAAACAGATATGGATTTTCATATGGGGGAACACCATTGAGCTGAAAGATGTTTAACAAATAAAAAAATTACATTCACAAAAGAAACTTTTACACAGAAGTCAAGTTCTTAACATAAAGAAAAAAAGTTCAAAATCATGCAATAAGCCACTAACTACTTTCTTATCACTTTAAGTTAAAATGATAAAGAAATTAGTTATTGGCTATATTATATAATCTATAGGTACCTAAGATAAGACTTTTTCACATTGTATTGGTGGACAGTTTTCTTTTCTGAGATGCAATATCGAATATAGACAACAATCTGATCTCTATTTTTTTACAAACCATCATCATGATCAAAAAGCAAGATAAACCTATCATAAGTGAAAAAGTGAATTGTAATGTAGATACCATTATAGTATTCTTGAAGGTTGCCAACAACAACATCCAGTCCTCTACTAGCAGTTACATTCACTGGAACAAATTGCATAGTCACACCCTCTCTTCCAATAGCATCCTCTGTAAATGAACCTAAAATCAACAAAAAAAAAAGATTAAAAAAAGGTGTTGTATAAACAAAGATTGTTTCTGTTTTGGACCGAATGAAGTGTTTGAATATGAAAGTGACCATTGCACCCTTCTATATAGATAAAGAGTCATGTATATTTTTATTTGATACAAGTATGAAGTAAACCTGATGATCGAGACCAAGGTCAATCATCCACCATGAACAGTTCTTCCCATCCGCAATGCAGTGCCCAACAAAAGAAGTTCAATGTTCCAAGATTGCCTTTAGTTAACAAAACAATTCCATCATGTAATTTTGGTTATACCCAAGTCAAATTAATCAAATTCTCAAAATATTATAATGATTGTGGGCTACCTGGTAGGTTTGTGAAGCCAATACCTTACGATCCGTGTATCTTGAAATAGGATTGCTAGCTGTAATGTTGATGTTCTGAATATAAAAGTGAAAATGAATTATTCAAAGATTATCGACAACCAATCCTTTTTTTTCTTTTTCGTATTTAAAAAAGTGATCAAAAGATGTAAAAGTTTACCTTAGCTAGAACATGATTAACCCATTGGTGTTTCCCATATGATATAAAATTTTATCTTGAAAAATGAACAACAAACAATAGGTAAAGGTTATTGTCTTAACACATTATGTATAGATTTTTTGTTTATCTTAAAAGGTCATTTTCAAGATTAAGTAAACAAACGTATAGTTGTCCCTATGAAATACTTAACACATCAAAAGGCCATAGGTAAAAAAGAAAATGTTTAGAAAATACAGAAAGTTAGAGCTGCATATTTGGACAGATTCAATATGACAGTATGTGTGATTTCTTTCTTCAAAACCATGTCAATATTTTATACACCATAAATCATGATTTCCATACAACTGTTTCCATTTGCCATATATTGATATCATTCCCGACTATATCTCAAGAAATGGACAATCTTTGTGTAAAAGGGACTCACCAATATCTCTTGATACATACATACAGTAATACACATACATATAAATTCAATATCCTGCTTTATACATATATGTTGCGAATGACATATCATCTTGTGTTGTGGTTTACAATAAGTTACATCGATGAGATTTTAGTTAACTCCTGATGTAGTTTTAGTTAACTCCTGATGTAGTTTTACTGATTAAGAGCAAAACAAAAGCTTAAGTATTAAGCCAATTAGATCATATGAAACTGCACCCAAGTCAAAATGAAGTGATTGATTTCTACTTTACATCCAAACAACAAAATTGTATTCAATTAAGCTAAAAAGAGTTGAATCGTTTTTAGAAAAAATCTCCATAACAATCGGTGTACAAGAGCTGAACCATATTCAATTAAGCCAAAACCGTATTCAATCAGTATACAAGAGCTGAATTCTATTCAATTAAGCCACAATTCTATTCAATAAGTATAAAAGGAAATAAATAACCATGACATAAGCTTAAATCGTGTCCAATAAAAGGCAATAAGAGTATGAAGAGAAAGCTAGAAGCATAAGATTAAAACTTAACTCGATATACAAGAGGATTATAGACGTCAAATACTTATTGAGAAAGTGATGCCGATGTGGATCAAATATACCACATTATCGGTGGCGTAGGGATGACGACTTCGATGACAGAGGCGTAATGGTGTGGTAGCGACGAGTTGGATGATGACGGTGTGATGGTGTGGCGACGACGAATTGGACGACGACGACATGGTGGTGTGGCAACGACAAACTCAACGACAACGACATGATTATGCAGCGAGATGAAGTTAGGGCGATCGATTTAGGGTTGTGATGAAAAGGGGAAACGAGATTTCATAGAGGAAAATTAAAATAATCAGGTAGTTTGAGGATTAGTATTACTAATCATGTGATGCAACATACCATAACCGGCTACAAATTAAGTTGCAAATGCCCAAATTAACCCGATGTTCTTTAATAGGAAAACAAAACTCGTATTTCTTTTAGTGGCACAAAGAACAGTTATTAATATTACACAGTGGTACATAATTAATTGTATGCCACAAAATCTATATTTTTCATGGCATTTTTATATTATTTTGCCACTAATAAATATCAATATTATTGACACAATTTGTTAAACGCCACTAAATTCGTTAACTCTATAGTGACATATAAAATATGCCACTAAAAACATAATATAGTGGCATAAAAAAAATATGCCACTAAATGTCGTTTAATTTGTAGTGCTACTTTTTGTTCTATATTTTTTTCCTACCTATTTAAGATGATGACAAGTGTATAAATTCAAAATCTCAATCAAATTTGAATTAAATTTAATAACATTTGTCTCCATCTAAAATAGATAGGAGGATATTAAGAAGAAAAAGTAGGAGGCTATTTAATTTCTCATTAATTAATATTTGTATGTAGTTTAAGAAATGTAAATAAATATATATACATGAATTTAATATTTTAAAATTTTTGTTTTCTCCAAATTAAATTTTTTAAATACTTCTTTAATTCAAATATTCAAACTTTTGGAAAGTATTAATGATTTATTTATGTATTAATTGATTTGTATACAAAGCTCTTAAAATTCAAAATATAACTAATATGTTTTATAATATAGTATAAGTAAAATTTAAAAAGTAATTCTAAATCTAGAGTTTAAAGAAGAGTTTATATTTTACTTATTGTATAACAATAGTATAAAAAACATTACCTAACTATAACCATATATGGTAAAAATATTATATGACTGTTATGAATTAAATATTGATCAACCAAATTAGTTAGTATAAGATATTTGAGGATTAAATATAAGATTTATTTATTAAAATGAACATAAAAGGTGTACTTGTATTTCAAGATAACCAATGAAACTTTATTTACTAAAAAAACAACCACTAACCTGTGAATTGATCACCATAAATTAGCGATATTATGGCTCTCAAGTCTTAGCTCGATATTACGTACAGTTGGTTACGTTATTAGTTTGCGGGAAAAAAAAACATTTTATATACTTGCAAGTTATGCTAATATCAGAAGAAAAACTACTGCAATATAAAATATATCACCAAAACGTTCATAAAAGATGTTTAATAAAGAACACAATGCAAACACAGATGGTGATTTAATATATATTTGTTGGAAATATGTTCATGGTCACAAGTTAGTAACTTTTCATAATTAACAATGTTTTTTTTGAGTTACATCCGAGATACCATTTAAGCTTAAGATGACAAAAAAGAAAGACCGGAGGGAATAGTTTATTAATATATCATAATATCATAATAGGTTAATTAGAAACTTATATGATCAGCTTTACCATTCCACATAAGAGTAAATTATTTTTTTTATCAGCGGAAATTTTATTTAAAAACTAACAAGAAGTTAGAAAACAACAATTACATAAGTAAATTAGAGAAGTTTGATTATGCAACCAAAAAGATCCTTCCAACTTTGCTTTCCTACGCCTATTAGAAATCGAAACAAATGCCCTATGAACAATATCATCAAAAATATTCGATTCCTAGGAAGACTCTTGCCGAAAACCAAATTATTGCGGAAGTTCCACTAATACCAAAAAGTAGTAAAATCACCGCTTGAAAGACCCTCCGTTGACCATCCCTCAAAAAATCGAATCTGGCCAAGAAAGAAGAGATTGCACTATAATCTGAACTGGAGTCTAAACACCCCACCAAATAACAATACGCGACCATATGTCAATCAACTCACTACATCTAGAAAAAAGATGGGCAACTGTCTCAACTTGACTATTACACACAGGACACAAGATGGAGTCCACCGTGATTACTCTCTAAGAAAGTCTCTCTCGAGTGGGGATACTATGTAACTGAATTCTCCAAATAAGAATATTAATTTTGATGGGAATACAATTATTCCATCGAGTCTCTGCCCCTCCCGAAAACAACATACCGTCGTCTAGAAAGGATCTAGCAGACGAAACCGAAAAAATATAAGAGACATTAAGGACCCAACCCAATCTATCCGGACGTGACTCCAAGTGAAGATCATGCATCATGGATAGAAAATTATCCAATTGCATCTGCTCGACACCACCTCTAAGAGCACGTCTAAAATTCTCTAAATCCCAACCAATGTCAACCATGTCTCTCACTGTACAATAGCGATGGTTATCAAGGTCATAAATTCTATGACAAATAAGTGATAGGGGCAAATCTCCCATCCACACATAATGCCAAAACGAAGTAAATCGCCCATCTCCGACTCTAAAAGGACACATAGTGTGACATCCCCAAAATCTCGGCCGGAAAATAGCGGTTTCATTTATGCTTTTAAAATAATTTCAGAGTAAATCCTTTTGATTTAAAAGAGTTGCGGAATTTGTTCCCAAAACAAAATATGATAAAATAAAGTTTATCAAAGCATTTCATCAAGAGACGCATTTTCATTATATAACAATATTCGGGATGTCATGTTCCGATAAACAGACCAAAAGCATAAACAACATATTACAAGTCATACAACAGTTATATACATATACAAGCTCATAAACAAAACAACTTAATGATTCATCCATCTTATGCCCTCGCGCCAGTTCTTGTAATACAACAAAACTGAGTGGGTCAGGCTTGGTAGCCTGGTGAGCATATAGGGTTTTCAACCCACAATAAATAATTATATTTAATTTCACCAACCAACAATAACCCGATTACCCATTCCCGTTATCCTCATTTTACGTCCCTAAGACAACATCTATTAACAGGGACCTAATCAAGGATTTTCATCGGGACGGAAATTACTGCAAAGGGGTTTCCTCAACAATAGATGTCCTAAAGGCAACCATGAGGGGGATAGAGTACACCGGTGAACACATCGTTCACAACACCTACAGGTTATGAACCTGCTAGCGTTCCACTGGACTGTCTAGAAAGAGTTTGTGGTTGTCATCCATACTCCGCTGGATGACTAGGTCAACATCAACAACATCGAGGCCTCTCATCAGTTTATCACACATCAACTATCTACCCAAGTTCTACCCAACATTTTGTAGATAACAATATACATATGCATACATATGCAACTTAAAAACTGATAAGATAATCATTTAATACTCGTTCCAAATATACAGATTCATTCCAAGTAACAAATAATATATATCTATATACACATAGCATGTATTCACCCGGAGATACTTTATATCTATGTGTTAGAAGAAAATGAATATACACTCACTTGATCAGAAGATGATCAGACATCACTACGGCTTGCAGAAGTAGTATTCTTCGATAGATCTGGAAGATCTTCACATACCGAGCTTCTCGCTGGCAGAGCTTCGGCTCGGAAACTCTTTTCTTCTCGGAATCATCAGGCTTCGGGACTCGCTTCGGGCCTCATGGTGATATCAGGGCTTCTGGGTACTTCTTTGCACGTAAATCGAGGTAGAACGGGAGAGAAAGAGAGGAGAGAAAATAGCAACCCTAAAAGGTTGGCCCTTCAAATCTATTTATAGGGCAAAATTTGCCCTTGCCATGTCGTGGCACCTTTTTCCACGTCGTGGGCTCGGTCGTCACTGCATTCGTCATTGCAAGTTGCGTCTAGGGGACTCAGACTTGCCACGTCGTGGTATCTGACAGTTTTGGGGTTTCGCGTCCCGAACTTCAGAAATTCATAACCTTCGCATACGAATTCCATTTTCGATGTTCTTTATATCGACGTGTAGGTGAGATTATCATCTACAACTCTCGTTTAGACTCCGTTGGCTAATTTTGAATTTATTTTTTAAATATTATATATATATATATATATATATATATTATTTTTAGTAGGCCGGGACAGGAAAACTCCGTTATAAATTCATAACTTCTTTATCCGACGTCCGTTTTCGCCTATCTTTTTATCGTTTCACTACTACTAACGAAATCTTCGATTCTCGTTTAGATTGTTTCGGCTAAAAACCGCTCGATCTCAAATCGAGTATTCGGGTTGCATACTGCTAAGTCGAAACTTCATAAAATCATAACTTCCTCATACGAAGTCATATTTGGGCGTTCTTTTTATGCACGCTCTCGGTTTAACGAACTCTTCAACTTTTGTTTAGATTACTAAGGATAGATATCGTTCTATCTTAAATTCGTATTTTACGTCATTCGGCGTCGTGTCGGTTCTATCGCGAAACTTCGACAGATCATAACTTCTTCGTATATATTCGGAAACCTCCTTTCAACTACTACAACATTATCCAAAGATATCGTCTTTATCTACTATTTTATTTTGACGCTTATTTTTATTCTTAATTCATTTAAGCCACACAACTAAGCACAAAATATATAATACTCAAATAATACATTCTTATTATTTCAAAATGGGTTACAAAGGTTAACGTAGACTAATACATTGCTATTAATGACAAGCCCAGAAACACAGGCGTTACAATTCTCTCCACCTTAGAATGATTTTGTCCCCGAAATCACACATCAACAAACAACTGTGGGTAGTGACTCATCATGTCACTCTCCGTTTCCCAGGTGAGATTGAGCCCATTTGTGTGTTTCCATCGGACAAGCACTAACTCGACCATCTTGCATCACAACTTCTTAGTCTTTCGGTCAACGATTGCTTTAGGTTCTTCAATCAACCTCTTGTTCTCATCAATTCTTAACTCAAAAATTGGAATTACGTCGGGAACTTCTCCCGTGAACTTCCTCAAATAACACACATGAAAAGTGTTATGAATTCCATTCAGTTCTTCTGGTAGTTCGAG